ATATATATATATATATATATATATGGATCTGTATAGTTGCTATATAGATTAAAATATTCATCAGACATTCCATTGAACTTTCAAACACGTCCGGTAATTATATGCGATTGCCTCTTTGATTCCTACAAAATGAAATTTCGATAGTATTACTTTTCCAATGAGCATACTAATTGTGCAAATATATACATAATAAGTACAATTTCTATGATATTTATTTGGTTTAGTTATTATATAATAATATTGGCAAGTAAAGCTCTGTCATAAAATTTTCTTTGACAAAAATATTGTATGCCCATATTTAGTCATGATGTACCTATATATGGTCATGATGATGTCATCATGACCATATTTAGGCATGTCACATGTTAAGTCTCCTCTTCTGTCTTTTTTTTTGTTGGAAAACTTTGGAAGAGAAACAAATTCTTATTTTTACTTGGCCTAGCCTGAATGCATTTTGTGTTCTGCACCAGCAGTTCCATAATCAATTGTGTTTCTAAACCTTTATAGTCTCAAATTTTTGTATAATAATAGGGTGTGTATTATAGGCCTTATCACTACTTCCTGTGATGCATACATACATGAAGAATAGGATCATTATCAAAGTACTATATACCATTTCACTTGATACATGTTATAGCGGCCTATAACACTTGTCATCAATATCGTAAATGATATGCAAAACATATGCAAAGAATTATTAATAATAACAATTTATATGGTATTGGTATGAAAACACTTTAAATTTTGTTGAATTGAATGTTTATTTACAGTTTTAATATTTATTTTTGCAGCTACATGCTGGTATAGTTAGATTATGTCATTAATTAGATTTAAAAATCCAAACTACTGAAAGTATAGTCTAGACTATCAACATACTTCAAATTTTTATACAAATTCATGTTCGATGAACATCTTGCATTTACCGTATAGCTTGGTTTCTATAAAAATCGCTACACGCTATTGCTGACTCCTTTGGTGATGCTGATAAGTCAATTGGTCGAGGACAGCTACATAGTGCAAGGATTGCTGTGAAAACGCCGTAGCGATTTTATCAAAACCTGGCTGGCTTAAGTCCATTTCCAATTAAACAGTTAAAAGGAGGAAATTTTCAAACTGAAAGAAAACAAACTCATATTACCAAGTAAACTAATACTTTAACAAATGTAGGGTTTGTTATTAAAGATAAAAAATATGTTTTGTCTGAAACATGCTCCTAATCCTAGACATAAAAAAAAAATTATCCCCCTTTTCCCATTTATAAGTGAAATGAATTTAAATATTTTCACTGTTGTGGACAAGGATTTGCCTAAACATATACAAGTTATTTTGTTGGGTTAAGTGGAGAAAAATAAATACAATAAAACGCACACAAAAAAAACCCCATTTTTGATAAAGCTTTTCCTCTACTGCAAATACTACAAATGCACCTCTACAAGAATACTTGTAGTGGTGTACCAGTTACACGGATATGACACAAGTGTGGTGTCCCAAGTTACACCAGTGTAACAAATATATTTATAAATACAGTAGTAAGCAATATGTTACCTTATAGTAATGATATCCCTTGCGAAAAGAATAGTTACTCAGCCAATCGATACAACATTCCAATGTTAATATTTTTGTGTTATTTGTCCTGACTGACCATTAGATGCTATTTGCGTTTGTATATATTTTATTGGTTGATGAGAATACAAAATGTTTTCTAGCTTTTATTCATTGGATTGTCTAGAACGTAGTACTCTTTTCAAATTTTGATACATTTTTGGTAAAAACGATTACGAAATGAAAATGTGATGTAAAAATGCTTTTTCAAATTAATACCACAAGCGTGTTGTAAATATCTACTTAAAAGTGATTTAAAACTTGTTGGTGATGAGTTCTTTTGCGGTGTTATAGAAGAGATTTTAGTTGATTGTAAAGTGTTTCAAAAGCATACATTCCAGTGTGTTAACAATTGCAAATGTAGTAACCACTTTGTGTATTCCCATGTTTTTTTTTAATTGATAAATCAGCCGGGGAGATTATGAGACAGATTTAAGTGTGTACTTTCTGAAGATAATTATCTGAATTTGATTTGATGTTGCCTTCGTTTACCTTTCACAGGTGACTGATATAAACGCGGTAATTATACGCTATGTATCTGAACCTGGTTATATATCGTATATGTTGAATTAAAAAATGTTAGTTTAATATGAATAAATGTGGTTATGTATGATTTCATTTATTATAAAAAGGGTAAAGGTAAGATACTGTTAGTCAAACTTGTACAGGTCCGGCGTGTTTATCCCTATTAGTTCGGGCAGACTGCAATGCTTTGAGGGGATCGACACTCGGTGAGTCTGTTTATCTTCCTAGCATGTGCCAGTACCCATTTATACTCCTGGGAAGAGAGAGACAAAAGTAGCTAAAATGTCTTGCCAAACGACACAAGCGACTTGCACAGCGAGAGTTTTAAACCCCTGACTTCGAGGTTGAGACAAGCCTTAACCACTGCGCCAAACGCTTCACATATAAATTTATAGTTATAGGTAACAGATTCTGGCGAATTCGTTTTTCAGCCATGACCAATACAACAGTGGATGTTTTTTGAATACACAAACCAAAATCATTCTCATATTACATTTTTTAATATAAAAATTCTGTTTACATGATTATATATTCTAGTATACAAACAAACATAAATATGTATACACATGACTTATACAAACTTCACCATAAAACAACTTTACAGGTTATATAAAATTATAAAAATTGTTTCTTTTTACTAAAATTATATACTGTTCTGTAGATTAAACTTGGCATTCAAGGTCCATTAGTTTGGTACTGGTGTATGTGGGACTACTCTTCTCCTGCATAGATTAAGTCCAGGGGCTGTGCCCTTCCCTTTTTTTCATAAGCTAAATACAGGGGCGCATCATCTCCCCTTGAAAACAAATAACCTGATGGGTCTAATGCTGGTATTGGTGAGTGTTATGTTACTTAATTTAATGCTGATTCGGAGACTGTAACAGGGGTCCTAAGTTGGGGACAGTGATTTCCAGGAAATATGGTTAAATGAGCTTGACTGAACATTTTGCTGTGTGAGGTGATACCCATCGCCAGCCGATTTCTGGAAGACAATTTATATACAGTAGTAAAAATATGCAAACATGCATTTTGAGGTATGTGGATTCCTCCTGCGAGATCTTTGCTCACGCGAGTGCATGTATAGGAGACTCAGGACCTCTCTGGAAGAAAATATCCTTTAAAAAATTTTATGGCAAATTAATGATGTAAGCTTGGACCTTTGTTTCCAAATAAATTTGCAGAATAATTGATTTGTCTTTTTAACATCTAACCACTTGGCAAACTGATTGTTCAATAATAAATAAGATTGTATTTTCAATAGATGATTTCAAATTACAGATGTCTCAAGACTGTAAAGCTTTCTAGGTGTAAAACTATGTTTTACCCCTTCCCCTACTGATTTTTGTCTTTCTATTCTTGGGGTCAACTTTGACAATTTAGGGCTTTTGTCAACTTTGACAATTTAAGGGTTTCAAAGGCTTATTTAGTCGATTTTAGAGTCAACTAATATGTAGAAAATACATAAAAAATTTTCTCTCCCCGACGTGAGGACCAGCTCTCCCTAACGTGGGGCCCTGGTCCCCGGCTCAGTTAAATAAATATGAGTGCTATAAAGATATATATCTGTACTATACCTACCCTGTTATAATACCCTAATAATAATGCTGTAACATAATATTACCTTTCTGTATTAATAATTATTACATATCTAAGGCCACCACCTGACTTAAGGCTTGTTTACACTATGACGATAACGATAAAAGTAAAAATTTTATCGTTTTGCCATGCTTATGACGTCATTTAATTTGATTTGTGAAAATATATTTTATTGTATAAATCATTATCGAATCGTGCTAGTGTGAAATCTTAATTGCTTTTTAGTTTTTTATCGTTGATCGTTATTGTCATAGTAGCAAACAGGCCTTTAAAGCTGGTTTAAATATCAATTTTGATTATGAACACAATTACTTTGTAATAATTTCTAAATAATTTTAAAATAACTGATTATTTTTATTGTACTGTTCAGAAAAATCTGGTACAAGGAATAAGCGAAGCAACCCAGGCAATTAAGTACTGGTCAAAGAGGCATTAGCGTTGATTATGTTCAAAACCTTTTTCCGAATTTTGTTAATGTGAATACGTCATATGAAAACTTGTATCCCTGACATTTAACTGTCTGGAATTACTTTGATTCGGTGAGGGAACGACATGAATCACGCCACTTGATTGGTTGGCATTATCGTGACTGCCATCTGGTATTGAGGTGTGGGCACTGGAATAGCGGTAGATTCCTGATTTATCATCCGGGGTTTCCAATTCTGGTCTTGACTTGCCTGCTGACCAGGACTCGTTCAATCTTCCGCCTTTCAGGCTGAATGCAGGCGACTGCTCATCGGTAGAGTCATGACTCCGACTTGCTATGCCGCGACAGATTTTCAGCCTGTAATGCTTGTTTGAGTCACTGTAGGCCCGTAGAGTTGTTAGTTGTCGAGGCCTACCGATACACAGCGAGCCTGTCGATTCTTGGCTGGATATCCAACTCATGTCTTCCCTAATCCGAGGGTTGTTATCCCGAATTACTGATCTTTTATCAAGGATTGACATTTGTCTCATTTTTGGTAAAATCAAAGACCGTTGTGAAATTGATAGTTTCTTTGTCCTGCTTGCAACGCTTTTTGCAGAATTGCTTCCTGTACTCCTAACTGTTTTCGATCGTTCTGTTTTTGTATCGCTCACCCGGCTCTGTGTGCGTTCTTCAAGATCTGGTAAGTGAGTGTGTGCATTCTTGCTTGTTTCATCGGCAGACTTGGTACGTTCCTGCGAATATTTGTCAGACGAAGCGATGTCAAGATGTTTACAGGTCATAGGTTCAAAGTAGACATTTCCATGGTAACCCTTCCAAGCCTGTTCATGCAAATAAATTTTTAAAAAAAGATATCACAAACAATTTTTGAAATATACAGTAATCCGTACATAATGATTATATTAACTCACAGAATTGTTCATGTAGAAAATCAAATAATTTACCACTTTCTAATGAGACACAAGTCTGCTTTATATCTATCCTAAATATGGTCATAATGAGATCACATCATGGTTGTATGGTCATATATAGGCACATCATCACTAAATATGGGTATAAAACCATTTTTTTAAAAGAAATTTGCTGATTCTCAGAACATTACTACAAAATTAAATGTAAAATAAATGTATATTGGTGCATGCTAAAAATATAGGAACTGTATTATTTAACATAGATTATTTGTTGAAGCTAAAAATATTACCTACCTTTAATGGACTAAATTGCTGTTGCGTCTTTTGAGTGACATAAAAGTATGTATTTGGGTTCGACGAAAAAGGCGGCTTATTTATATGCGCCACAAGACTTGGCAAGTTGTACACGGGTACATGACGACCACTAGCGGTGCGTATGCTTTGCGGCACCCTCATTCCGGCTGATGTCAGATATGTGGAACCACTCTTGCAACGTCGATTCATCACCATAAGGGCATGCTCGTAATACTTTTCCCTCACCGGTGTTCTGATGCTGTTTATCCGGAAATGGCTAGAAAAAACGTTTGAATAAGTGTGATTTATATTAAAACAGTTACTTCGTGTATGCAGGCCACTTGTGTAATAACGAAATTGCTGAATGTCATGGAAACAAATGGGTATAGTTACTGTGGTTTCAAAACAATACAGAAAGCTTTATTATGGTATTCTTCAAAATCTGTATAAAGTTCTATAGATATACAGCACTAAAAGTCATAGCCCTTGGGTATGTAGATCATTCAGACAGTGTCACAATCGAGCCTTTTATTTGTGTTACACATGGTTGAGGAACTGTACTTTACTAAATATGTGTTGTGGTGCAGTTAGTGTCTTCCTAGTCGGCGTTCAAATTCACACATACAGTAGTACACATTTACGCTGTGCTCTTAAAAAGCACTATGTTTTTTTGCCTCTTCATTTCATATAAATATTTAATATTGTAACCTTTCAACTATTAAACATACAACATTATGGGATGCTCCCGCAGAAATAGTCTTGTGGGCTGCTTTATGGTCTAGACTAGGGTAGACAAGTCTCGGAGAAGTATGAATGTGGACCCAAGCTGCGTCTAGTGTTTATATATATATATATATATATATATATATATATATATACTATATATATATATACCAGCTTTATTTGGTGTCTGGATTCTCGTATCTCTGATCCAACCATCGAACATTGTAGTATACCTGTACAGTTACACTAGCTTGTAAAACATTTAATAAGGGTAAATGTATACAAAATAGTATAACGCCTATGCACTCTTTATGCGGCAGTTTGCAGGGCCCCAACCCAGAGGGGCCCTGAAGGGGTCCCTACCCATAGGGTACTTATCTATCATCCTGACCCAGCAGGGTTTGTTGATACATAACCGCATAATTTGTCTGACATCCACTGTAGGACGTATATCACAGGGACTCTATCATGACTCTGGGTCATTCTTCGGTAAAGTGCCATTTTCCCGTCCCTCTGTTTTGATGTAGTATAAATTTTAAAATATTAAAGGAAGTTTTATTTTTATTGCGTTAATGCAATCTCGAACATATTTGTTAATGAAATAAGTTGTTAAATATTTTAAAAGTAATCAACATGCTGTTTATTTTTCAACAAAAAGCCTCCAAAGTCGCGCACTTTGCATGTCCCGATTGGATTTCTTAAAAATTCCTGTCATAATTTGAACGCCTATGCACTCTTTATGCGGCAGTCTGCAGGGCCCCAACCCAGAGGGGCCCTGAAGAGGTCCCTACCCATAGGGTACTTGATCTATCATCCTGACCCAGCAGGGTTTGTTGATACATAACCGCATAATTTGTCTGACATCGACTGTAGGACGTATATCACAGGGACTCTATCATGGCTCTATGTTACACCACTTGGTAGCACCACATAGATGGTACATTGTATTGTTTCCACACTGCAGGCCAATTCTAACAAGGATGAAGCTCTTTCCTTTCCCATGCTATGGTGACACATAGTGGCTGTGTGGGCTCAGCCTTATATACCAATTTTCCAATGTGCAATTCAATCATCACAGACACCATAATAGAAGGACATCAGATTGAAAATGTTCAGAATTACAAATATCTCGGCCAGACAATACAAATGGAAAATAATACAGGAGAGGTCTCAATGGCTGGATGGAGAGCCATTGGATGATAGAAATATATTTTTTGTGATAAGAAGAACAAGAAAAATGGAACAAAACCTTCAAGTAGCACAAAGAGCAATGGAAAGAATGTCACCCAAAGACAAAATAATAAATAACATCATACAGTATGTCAAAGAACAGGAGTTAAGGATATTGGTCAAAATCAAGGAAGCCAACTGGAGATGGGCAGGACACTTAAGCCATAAAGATGCATGACAACAGATGGACAAAAAGACTGACAGAATGGCAACCTAGAACAGGCAAAAGAAGACGAGGCAGACAAAAGAGAAGATGGAGAGATATCTAACTACATACATGGGCAAGAAACACCAAAGACAGGAAGGAATGGAAACACCATGAGGAGTGCTACATCCTACAATGGATGACATTGCCTAAAAGTAAAATGATAATTTAATCATTGGAAATGTGGAACTCTTGTTCAGACCATTTTTATACCTCCTTGTTCAGACTATCAAATTTTTCTTTGACAAGAATCTGTTGTATGCCCATATTGTAAGCTGCTGCGCTTATAAAATTTCTGGAGGCTTAAGCACGGAGCTAGTACTCAAGAGCATTTAGGTATATATTGATGATGTGCCTATATATGGTCATGATGTGATGTCATCATAGCCATATTTAGGCATGTCACATGTTTTTGTCAAATAAAATTTAAAAGCCTTGGACTGGGCTTAAAAAAGTAAACTCACCTGTCAGTAAGCTCTGTGGCTGGCGTGTTTACGGTCAGAGCACGTGGATTGCTTATCTGGTCGTTGAACCCAAACTGCATCTGATCATCCATGCAAGAGTTAATAACCTGATTGATTTCCTCATCCACATCGTCCATGCTGGCGGGAAGCGAGAAATCCACACTCTTGGACGTTGTAACCGCCTGCTCCCTGTCCCCTGCCAGCGATCTTTGGATGTTGATGCAAAGACTGGAGTGGGAATCGCTCTTTAAATTGCCTGCTTTCTTTCGCACAGTCACGTCTTTCAACACCCAGTTCACCGTGTTATTCTTTTGTTTTAATTTCTTTTCATCGTCCGATTCTGTGTCACTTTCTATGATGGACTTGGAGCTGTCAGTATCATCCTCGTCATCACATGTTGTATTGTCATGGTTACGATGGTTGCTTTTATCTCTCATGTCACTATCAACTTCATCACCATCTGTTCCACTAACATCTTGACCTGCGTTACTTTTATTATTTTCAACATCTTCAGAATTTTTCTCATCCTTTACCGTTCCATTGTCACTTGATAGGTTTTCATTCTCCTTCATTTTATTGACCTCTTTATCACCTTTAACCTCTTTCCATTGCTCATCACCTTTAACCTCTTTCCATTGCTCATCACCTTTAACCTCTTTCCATTGATCATCACCTTTAACCTCTTTCCATTGATTATCACCTTTAACCTCTTTCCATTGCTCATCACCTTTAAACTCTCTCCATTGATCATCACCTTTAACCTCTTTCCATTGATCATCTGTTTGTAAACCTACTTCAGGATTTCCTTCTCCATTTTTAAGGTTATTAATTTTTATTTTCATTTCTTCGTTCTGTTTGACATATTCATCATCGTATTTCCTCCTCCTCTCATCCTTTAGGGAGCCTTTGTGCTGAATCACTTCTGTTGTTTTTTCTCCCATCCTGTTACTTATTTATTCATCTAAATTTTGTTTGGCCAAACTCCCCCTCATCTCGGTCTCCAATTTTCCAAAACTTTTCATTCTCAAAATTCAAATATCTGAAATATAATTATAAAAAAATAAAATTGAGAAATGCGAATATTACTACACATTGTACAATTATAAATTACTAATTCACAAAAAATATATAATAGGCCTATAATTACATGTAAAATATATGTAGCCAAAGCTAGCTATAATATATAGATATACATAGAATTTCGCAACTACAACAGTTCTTTTCAAAACTACCTACGTGGTGTACCGCAAACTTAACAATGTTATTACTCCGCCATGCAAACCTTCAAACATTATACATAGGATGTCACACACAAACATACTGTAAACTGCATATATTGTATACAGATAATCTATATCCAACTGTTATGCTATACACTATGCTTTCTTAGATTAACAGTAGTAGCTATTCTGTATATACACATCT